AAAGAAGCATAGACCAAAGTGGAAGATACCTAGATACTTCGGATGACAGTGGACTTATAGCAAACTAGCCAATCAGCAGCTTGAGTTTTGCAATATGCATGAGCTAATTATGTACCATATATAAGCCTTCTGATTATTGCTAATAAACGAGGCTCGATGGACCAATCTGATAAGGTGGTCGGGTCTTCCTTCTCCGACATGTGACATTTGAAATATGGAAATAAACTTTTAGCTGTAACTTTTAATATAAAACGTCAAAGTGACTGCAACTCCAACAGGCTGCAGGGGTTCTTTTTATCAACATGACACTTTTTTCTTTATGTGGCAAGTCTTGCTGAAGTATTTTACTAACTTGAAACTGCAGAAATACATATTATCAGTATACTATTTTTGCCATTAGTTAATTAAAATAGAAAATCCATGAAAGCAATTACACAAGAGAGATGAAGTGTGAAAGTGAAGTATTTTTGAAGTATTTCACAGAACTATTATATAAATATGCAGTTCTTAAACAAAAATAAATCAAAACAATTTACTACTTTGATTATTTTGTACAGTTCCTATTTATTGATGATTACCTTTATAAAAAGTGAACTGTGGAATAGAAAAGATGTAAGGAACTAGTAATTGTGCAGATCAGATTTTCTGTTAAAGAAAGAAGTAATGATATTACATACTATTAAGTGCAACCCTTATTTTTGTTAATACCATTTTTTTCTAGTCTTGGGAATTTTTCAGAGTTGTTAACTCACAGCACAATGTTTTTAATCTATCTGTGATTTATTCCTTAAATTTCAGAGGAAGTCTGAGAAAGGAAAGGAAAATTTAGGAACAGGATATAACCTGAGTGAGCTTAACAAATTTGGACTGGTGTAGTGGCTTTTTCAAATTAGGTTAAAAATCTGCCTTTTTTTTTTTTTTTTTTTTTTTTAATTGCTCCCTAGGGCTTACTCATTTAAAAAATAATCCATGGACTTTTCATTTTCAAAGACTAAACCTACAAACTCAACCCAGTCCTCCCTCCTCTGAGTTTAATAATAGGAAATTTATACAGGTTTCAGTAAGTCCCGAGTTAATTCAAATCCCCTCAAGATACTGAGTACATTTTGAAACGGCTGAACCCTGAACAACTGCATTGTTGTGTCTGGTGGATTTCTGCTTTAAAAGTGTGATTCCAGTTGAGAAGAAATAGCTTGTTCTGTGTGAACAGATCCCAGCAAGCAAATGGGTTTGTTCAGCCCACTCTAAGGAATGTGCATAGCCACAGTGAGTTACTAATTGGATCAGTCCATTTGATGAGGACTGGCTCATCAGATGCCACAGTCAAGTTTTACAGAAACCTTCATTAGAAGGTGTGACCTTTTAGTTGTTTAATAGGAATAAATTCAAAGAATCTCGACATTTGAGTGCAAACTTGGGCTCAGAAGTATATCAAAATACATTGAAGTACAAGGGGTTTGTCTAAATCAGTATTCTTTTGCCAAGAACTGGTTTCCATTACATTAGACGAACAACTGTGCTTTTCTGAAATCCGCCTTATGAAGGCAGGGAAGGGAATGAAATCACACAGAATGTGGTGTACCTGCTCGTGATGGCTGTGGTCCTCAGCTTCTGTATGGCAGAGTAGTAATGGCAGATTTCAGTCTTAAATCTCATGATTGCTGACATTAACTCATTTTTTCAAGGAAAAAATGTGTTTAAAAGTGTTTGTAAAAGGTGAAAGTTTTTAATTCGTAATTGTTTATTTCAGGGTGTCCTCTCTTTCTGCAAAAATCTGAGAGTTCTATATTTATATGATAACCAAATCAGCCAAATCCAGAACTTGGACTTTGCTTCAAATATAACACACCTTTACCTACAGAACAATTGTATTTCAAGTATAGAAAATCTCTCATCACTGAAAAAACTTGAAAAACTGTAAGTTGAGAATAAGGTATTTGTTTTACTAGTAAAAAGAATAGTTTTTTCTTTAAGAAATTAAAAAAATATGTAGCTGTTAAGGTCCTTTCAGCTCTTGAATTCTGCTTTTCAAATAAAAGTAACTGCTTATTATTTTTTTACTGTGTTGTAAGTAATGACATACCATCTTTACACATATTTACATTTAAATGATTTTACTTTTTCAATCAATAATAATAATAATAATAGCAATAGATAAAACTGATAAAAAACTCTTGGATCAGTTAACTGAATGTTCTACATGTATGCCAGATTCTTTCCTTTTCTAATATAATTTCCAAGTATTAATCAATAATACTTTCAAAATATTGTTCTTAATACATTGAAGCCTTGAAAGCTCTTATTTTCAAAGCATATTAAATCTACTTTGTGTTTTATTCTGCAGGTATTTGGGAGGCAATTACATCACTGTAGTAGAAGGTTTGGATAAAATAGGGGAAATAAGGGAGCTACATATTGAAAGTCAACATCTCCCTCTTGGCGAAAAGCTTCTGTTTGATCCAGTATCTCTTAGGTCCCTGGCAGTAAGTACATTTTGAGAATTTCAATGAGCCATTAATCAGTAGATCAGTATTTTTAGAAGAACTGATTAGGACTTGATCACTCAGTGTTTTCCTTTTCTGACAATTGGTGGCATTCTTTCATGTTCTAACAAGGAGCTCCCACGCCAATTCTCATAAAAGCTAATGGTCCAGCAGATTCTACTTCTTCATTTTTTTATTATGAAGGATGAAAATGAAGAGGGGAAGTAAGGAAGTATATAGGTGCCCTATACCAACAGAATGTGAATAAACTAAAAAAGGGGTAGAATTTATCGCTCTTATGTTTCTAAGTCTATTTAGTTTGTAGTGAATTAGTTTGTTGGTATTTCTGATTTGATCGTTACACTATTTTATTTACTGCCTTTTGTATTTCTCTTGAGAATGTAATGGGGAAAAAAAGGCACAAACAGCTTTTTTTTCTGGCACTGGAACAGGTTGCCCAGAGAAGTGGTGGGTGCTCCATCACTGTAAATATTCAAGGCCAGGTTGGATGGGGCCCTGGCAACCTGATCTAGGGGAAGGTGGCCCTGCTCATGTCAGGAGGACTGTACTGGATCTTTAAGGTCCCTTTTAACCCAAACCATTCTATAACTCTGTAAAATGCAGTCAATTTCCATGTCTGTTTCGTACTTCAAAAATAGAGTTAATAGCACTTGCAGAACTCTGTAAACCATTTGAACATGTTTAAAGTAAAACAAGCATTCAGTATTTACTAAGAATTCCTGAAAGAACTGTGACATAATCTTACTTTGGTTTGACTTCAAAACCAAAATAAATTGCATTTTGCAGCAAGATAGTAAGCCAACATAAAACACCGTGTGAGGTATGTTGTAGTTGTATTTGCATGTTTCTGCTTCATATCCTTGTTCATCCTTTGCAATAATTTTCTGTAAGAATGTACAACTTCACTAACACATTGCCTAAAAAAAAATATTTCTTTTTCTGCTTTTCTTTCTTCAGAAATCTTTATCTGTATTGAATATCAGCAATAACAACATTGATGAATTAGAGGAACTGGCAGTTTTGGACAATCTTTCTTATCTTAAAGCAGTTGACAATCAACTTCAACATATGAAGGTATTAAAATAAATATTTGTTATATTAAATATGAGTGATAAGAAATTAGTCACATTCATCTTTATCACTAAATATAAGAGTAAAATAAATTTTACTTCTGCAGTTACTGAACCTCTGACTTGTCAAGTGATGCAGTCTCTTCTCATCCAAAAATCTTATTGAGATTAAAAATGGAGAAGCATTTATATTGGATGTCAAAATTTACATTTTTATTAATTAATACTAAAATGAATTGGCTTAGACAGTAATCCAAATCACCAAGACTTGATTAAAATAAACTGTTTCAATACTATTTCTACATTCTATTTCATTAGAAAAGTTAACTTTCATTCATTAGTAATTAAATAATTAAATAAAATAATTGCTTTTATTACTTCTTAGAATACTTAATATATTTTTAATAGAATTTTAACAGAATTTGGCAGTTCTGTTTGCCAGTGAAGAGATTGCAGTATTTGATGTGTGTAACCTATCAATAATCCAGGTCAACATACTTTATTTGGACTCTTTATTTTTTTATACTTGAATATTAAATGTTGAATGGTGCACATCTTTTTTGCTAGAGAACTATTAATGCTTTGCATTTCAAACTGTGTTTCTGGCTGGCAGTTGTGATTGAATTCACATCAAAATACAATTCGTGTAAGCTTTTGCTGAGTAATTAAAACCACATTGTATCAAAATAACAGTAAGGTTTTTCAAATAGGCAGTCTCTCCGAAGTTTCCCTTTTGAAAGGGATTCCTTTTCTAAATAAAACACATTACAAAGATTTTTAATTGGCTCTTTCTTTTGTATAAATAAATATACTTCAGTTGTGATGATCTTGGAAGAAGATTGTTTTAGGCAAAGAACCAATTAATTTTAAGAATGAGGATGCCAGTTTGGAGACAGAGTTTTCAGTGTCTCAGAGGGAAAAACAATATGCTCTGAAATAAAATAAGGAGAGGACAAGAAAACGATACTATTCAGTAACTGTGTATATATTATTTAATCATTATTAAATTTCATTATTTAAACATCAGGAAGACCAGAGTTAAATTTGCCCAAATCAACTAGACATGTAGATTTCTATGTTAAATGGTCACAGCTTTTGAAAAATTATGTGGTTAGCATTTGAGTTGGGTGCTGCTGCTGTCAGTTACACTGTCGAGCTCTGGTATATTTTGAAAATGACTGTCCTGTGTGTTTTCTAAACAATCTCCACGTTTTAAAATATATGGAACAGAGAGGGTGTTTCTATTTATATGTTTGCAGACCTGTAACCATAATGAAACTAATGTAAAACTAATGAACCTATCAAATGTAATGCAGGTGGATATCCAGCTTTAATTAAAAAAATTACTGTGTTTTAAGAGATCACATTTTAGTAGGCTCCACTTATCACTGACATAAATTCTTAAAGAAATAAAGACCAAACTGTTGAAAAAAAACACATTAAGCCATACAATTTTTTAAAAAGTCAGTTTTAGCTCTGTGTAATGTAAGTCTTTAGCTCACAGTAGACATCTAGCAAGAGAACAATCTTTTACAGCCACTGACTGTTCAAAAAAATTAGCTGAGGAAAGTTTCGAGTATGTTTCAATTTTTTTGCAACCTTGAATCTCATGATTCCATGGCTTACATTATTTTACAACTGTGGAAGCTGAAAGGATTTGAGGGGTGTACAGTTGTATGCACTTCATTGGTTCTGTGTACTGAGCTTGTCACACACAGCAAAGGCTCTTTCACTCCCACACAGGCTGCCTCCATTCTCCTCCCGCTTGCCCCTCTGTTCTCAAAACTCAGATGTGTACCTCTTTTCATGCCAAAAGCTCTATGTCCACCGTTTTCCCATTCCTGCTTTTCCATCACTGCCATCGAGAACATCCCTGGGAGTGTCTGGCATTGATCAGAGATCGTGGCAGTGCTGCATGTCAGGGAAGTGTCAGAGAGCTCCGTACCCAGCTGTGCTTCACCCAGTGGGAAGAGAAGCTGTAGAGGAGTCATCCGTGTCTTAGTAGGGCTGGTCAACACCAGTGACCTGTGCAGCAGAGGTAGATGGCTGCAGGAATAACAAGGAGTCTTTATAAGAGAGGAAAATGTGACAGGCATAAGAAATGCACAAAAAGCAATCTTCTTATGTAGACTTTTCTCACATTTGTCTATTTAGTATAATTATTTTATATCTAAACATTTTTCTCACTTTTTTCCCTTTATTATGAAAACACCTATTCTCTTGCGTTTCAACTACGCCACCTTGATTTCAGCGTAATTGAAAATTAGGACTAGTAAATTCAATTGCTTAAGCTTCTGGCTAATTCAGGGCTTTATTACCATAATTAACAGACATCAGGGCATATGACCTTGTTTCACATGACTGAAGTTTATGTAACACAGTCTGAACAGTAGACTGAAGTAAAACAAGTAATTTTTCTGAATTAATGCAAAATAACTTTGACTAGCAAAAGCATGTCTTAGGTCAGTTATCAAGAATATGATTGATTTTAATAGAATTGGCATTTTTTTTCTGTTGCTTGCTACTTGATTTATTTATCCTTTTCACTTTAGTCAGAATCACCAGGTCTTCTAGAATGCAGTGTATTTGGGTTGGAATACTAAAGGAATTTTTAAAAAACACTATATCTATTAAAAATAAAACCCCAACTATTCCTGTTTGCAAAAAGACAGAATATAATTAATTTATTAAATATACTAGTTTTAAGAAGATTATGACTTGTATAAGTGTTTGGAGAGATAGAGAAAATACATCTAGAAATACCTGTAAAAATCTGTGTTTCACAATTCTTTAATTTATTCAACCTTTGCCCAGTATTGATTATGACAAGAGGATATCACAAAAGATGAATTCATTCGCTTCAGAATTGAGTCGGGAACAAGAGAAAAATGATAGATTTTCTCAAATAGATTATGACAGGTAATCAAAATGGTGACAAATTGCTGTCTCTAGATGTATCAGGGGCAGTTGGACTAGACGTTTCCGATAAAAAATGGAGCATACTGGTCAAATACCAATTCTTAAATGGCCATCATTAATTGGTAAGAAATTGCCAGCACTACAGCTGCCTACTCAGGCACTTGCCCTTCCCCCTCTCCCTCCCTCCCCATTGGAATATAATTTGCTCGTCAGTATTTTGTAGCAGACCTCAAAGTGATAGC